AATGCGTTTGATGTGGAGATGGATAAATTTCATTGTGGTGATATGATGTATTTCGATTAAGTTTAGTTATAGAGGATGTATTAATTTGTATTTTGCATTGGCATTAGTTTGGACAACTCAAATTGATAAGTTATTAATTTGCAATGAGTAAATGACATATTCCTACCCAAGGTTTAACGAAACCCCGATTGGTACCCTTAGTTTCAAAAATTCCAGATCTCTACCCTTAAATGGACGTCATTAGTGAAGGATGGGTTCTAACAGAAGGGCAAGGTTTTTTTTACCAAACTGCCCTTGGACCTTCTTCTTCTTTATCTCCCCTCATCTTTTTCACAATTGTTGACCTTTTGGTTGCCTCCCAACTGATTTTTTTTAACCAATCATAATAGGAACACTTCTCCAAATTACCACCACCTAGCCACTACTGCTGAACAACAAACCTAACCCAAAACTCATTCAAATTGGCTGGCTGTGCAGTAGGAGGGAGAGTTGCACTCAATGCTGGTTGGGAATTAGTTAGGGCAATACGTCAAGTAGGTGGTGGGCGACGACAGTGGCAAGGAAAATCAGTATTTGATGGCGGTGAAAATAGCTAGAAAAGACCCACAACCAATCAACAAGTCATATTCACTCCTAAACACAACAAAACCCCATCAAATCGAACTTCAAACAAAGGCTCCAAATCAACCCAAACCTAGTTGTGAGGGAAGTGACGGACGATGACCAGCAACCAAATGATTATCAGAGATGGAAGGGGTTTTTGTGAGGGGAGCGCGGTGAGGTAAATGGAAGTGATGGGAGGGATTTTCGTTGTCGGAATCAACAGGAAAATAACAAAATTGCAACCCTAGATGAGCGGTGGTTGATGATTAAGGGGTAATCATGGGTGGGGTCAAAGGGGTTTTGGTTTGTTGGTTGAAAGGAAGTGATTTGTGGTGATAGGCATGTCCGGTGATGCAAAAATCAAGAGACTAGGCGTTGCACTCAAAGGAAAGGCAAAAGTCGCATGGGGAAGAATAAAAAATGGAGAAATGCAAGAGGGAGATGGCTAGATCTAGGCTAGACAGACACAATCATTGGAAAGGATTAGAAAATGGCTGGTGGTGATGCCAACAAAGATGAGGGAAAGTAGAAGATGAAAAGATTGATTTGACAGAGTTTTTTGGATCCTCTCTCTTCTTTCTCTCAACAAATTACCACTTTACCCTTTGAACGTTATATTAAACAATTTTCCGTTAATATCTGAAATTTATGAAACCAGGGGTTTCAACTTGGGATTTCGCTAAACCTCGAGTGGGAATATGTCATTCACTCATTTGGAATTAATTTCTTATTAATTTAGAGTTTCTGATTAATTGAAATTTTGGTTAATTTGAAATAAATTAATCTAAAAATAATAAGACAAATCATAACTATCTCTAAGCCTCTATATAAATGCTAGAGCTTTCTCATTCAAGGCATCATGAAACCTTCATTCACCAATCTTTAAAAAATTCTTAGCATTCAAACATCATTTCGTAACCACTTAAACCAAGAGATTTTATTAAAAAACCCTAGCCGCTTTTACTCTTTGTCCATCACTAAAACACTCAAACATTACATCCATTTTTTTCGAACACATCAAACATTAAATTAGTCCCCAAACACCATACAAATCACACTAATGAATCAAAATCGCTTTCTTTCCACAAACATCAGAATCCAATCCCCTCTTTGGGTTTTCTCTTGCTACCCTTTTACATTTTTGAGAGATTAGTTTGTCATTTTACATTCATTAATCCCTTAGGTAGTTTTTCCATGTTAGAATGAATCTTTTTATGCCCAAAATTGAAGTCAAAAGACAAAACCTTGCAAACCCTATAGTTTTTTCGTAAGCTATTTGACACAATCTACATTAGATTGAAACAATGTTTTCTTTGAATTTTCTGCATTTTCAAAATATGATTTTTCTACGAATGTCTTTGGCTTTAATTTCAATATTATACTCACTTGGAACATTTTTAAAACATGCAAACATTTACTAACTTGTTAGATGTTTGACTCCCACTCCTTTTCTCTATAAAATTTGCCTTGGACTTCTTTGTTTTGACTTTAGTGATGACAAGGCTACAATAGCATGCTCCTTGGAGTGACTTCTTGTAAGGAGGTCATGGGTTGGCTCAAAGTTATTTAAAAGCGTGGTCGAAGTCCAAGAAAAAGGTGCAACGATCCATCATTAGGCCCAAGTCAACAATGGACCCTTCTCAATTTATAATCTATATTTTGTTGTATTTATTATCTTTTGTCAATTTTTCATAAATACAAAAAATCGCCAACAATTGTTAATTTGTCATTAATAATTATTTGAAATATATTTATTATTACTTTTTTTTTTTGGTTATTTTGATAATCCAAAAATCTAAGGGGGAATTTAGTCATTGCCTTATGAATCGGTGTCAGATAGGGATGGGCACGGGCTGGGGCAGGGCCGGGGATCCCTGTCTCCGGCCTAGGCCTGAAAGCCCAAGGGGATTCCCCAATCCCGGCCCGAAGCCCGTTTGGAGAATTCAGGGAATCCCCGAAAAAAGCTCGTTCCCCGAATTCCCCGTTTGGGGGTTTTTTTGTATTTTTGTATCCTTAGTTTTATTATCCTTTTCTCCAAATTATATATACCAACCAAAAAGAAAAAAAAAATTAAATATATAATATAAATATTAAACATAAAGACCCTATCATCAAAAAAGAAATTAAATCTATAATGTACATATTAAATATAAAAACCATCATACTAATATACAATATATAATGTATAATGTCAAATGTATACCATATATAATGTATAATATATAATGTTGAATGTGTAACTTTTGTTTCATAGCATTAACACACACACACACACACACACACATATATATATATATATTACAAATATTTATAATGATTTATTATATTTAATCTAATTTTATTTATTACCTATTTGTATATAGTTTCATAAAATACTTACACAATTATAATTTGTTATTGTACAATGTATAATTGATTTTCAAATATTAAAATTATTATAGGTATATATGATTGATTTTCAATTATTAAAATTAATATATATATACGGACCGGGGCAAAACCTATCCTGACCCCAGCTCGTCCCCGAATTCTGGGGCTAATCTTGGACCTGATCCCGACCGAAAGCCCAAACGATTCGGAGAAAATCTGCCCGATTCGATACGGGTTCCCGCAGGGCCGGGCTTTGTGCCCATCCCTAGTGTCATAGAATAGCTACAATTTTCATCTTCCTGAATTGGTATTAACTATTAACAAATACTAACAAAGGGTGAAACGTTTATGGTTTTTGAAATTGAGGGTATCCTTGAGTAAGACCAAACTTTGGGTGGGAGTTGGTAATTCGGCCTTGCAGCAATGAGCAAACATGTTTGCAACTGGAGACTTTGAGACTCGTGGTGAATGGTAAGTGGTGACCAGCTGTGCTTCTTTATCCGGTACCTATTGTCTCCAGGCTCCAGCCGATCAGAATTCTGTCAAATTGCTTGCGAATCTGTGATTTTCAATTGTCCTCACTCCCAACTCGGTCATTATAGGTATCATGCCCGACTTTGATTCACTATTCTTTCCATCTTAATTTTATTAACTTTCTCTTATAAATGTGACGTAATAATTCACAATTAATTAAATAAGATCTATTACAAACTGACAAACTACTAATTGTCACATTGCGTTTATGAGAAAAGTTTAATGAGAAATGTTTATGTAATATTACTTTTTACAAATTTACGAATTAATTTTATAATTATTATTTTTAGTTTGTAAATAGAAATAGTATTTGAAATTCATACCACTATCACTTGGTATAACAACGGTACAGGAATATTGGTATGGTAAAATTAACTCCCCCTGTTTAATAAGATTTTAATATCATAAAATTAAACCTTAGTAATCCTCAAATTTGATAGATTCAATGACTTGAAAGAAGCTTGGATCCACATCACAAAGTATTGAGTCGTGAAGTCAAAGAACGGAATTAAAATGATGCTTATGGAATTAAAATGATGCTTACTCCAAGACGAAATGGTTTTAAGTTATCCAATGGCGTCGATCCAAAGGCAATTGATCAAATGGATTATTAATAAGAGGGAAAGACTTAGGTATAAAACATTTAATTACCATTCATCTCCCGTAAAACCGACACTCAACATACTAGAGTCTACACACTCTTCTCTACGCTTGTCTATTTAATCCCATTACTGTTCTCACGCCACTACCCAGCACGTGAATATCACATTCCACCAGAAACAAACAATCATCTTCATCTTCATTTACAATACTCTCATGTGAATTTTATATTGGACCATCTTTTATCCTCTACTTTCATTCTCACGCTACCATCGATCATTGCGTTGATTTATTCTATATTTCCTCCTAATCATATGAAAATTTAAACACATTTTTAAAATTACTGTTTAGTACCTATTCAAACTTCTAATACAACTGGATTCATCATTTTAAATTTTGTAAACCAAATATCTTAGAATACTGTTAGTCTGTTAGAGAATGAAAAATCCTTGTCATTTTTAATTTTTTTTAAGTCAAGTCAATATATTCATATCGTTTTGAATTTTCATTTACCTTGCTGGCATTAACTAAAGGTCTTTTTAGGTATTATGTATAATATATTAAAATCTTTAAATAGTCAAAATTATTTATTAAAAACAAGAATTCCTTTTGAGACTAATAAATGCTAATTTATCATCTCCTCAAATTTTACGCATATATATTAATGAATCATAAATCATTCATCATTCTTTAAATTTAAATAGTAATAAAAACATGTGATGTATTGTACGGTTCCACAGATGCTCACGGTGTGATCAGCAGCACCAGATCATAACCTTACATATTCTTTAATGAACCTTGACAAAACTAAAGGACGCGTCAAGCCAGCCTGGCTTTCTTCCTCTCTCTCTCTCATTCTATCCTCTGGTCCCTTCTCATCCACCATAGTTCTAATTATTCGAATAATAAAAAATAAAAAACTAAACAAAAATGCCTGTCACAACTCCTTGTTAGTTAGCTCTTTTTTTTCCTCAAATCTCCAGAAATACTCCAAAAATTCTTACACTATGACACTCCAATTCCTCTCTCTTCTCTTCATTCTTTCAACAATTATTACCACGGCACTCTCAACTGACCTTCCGTTGTACAGAGAAGCACCGGCATTTCGAAACGGCGGAGAATGTCCCAAAATGGCATGGTCCTCACTACACAAAAAATCTCTCAATCCTTTGGATGTTATTCACCTAGCCATGACTCTCGATTCCACCTACCTCCGTGGCTCAGTCGCTGGCGTCTTCTCCGTACTCCAACACGCCACGTGTCCCGAAAACATCGTCTTCCACTTCATCAGCACTCAGCGCCAGCGCCCTGAGTTACGTCGCATCATCACCGCCACATTCCCGTACTTAAACTTCGAAATCTATAACTTTGACACCAATCTAGTCAAAGGAAAGATCTCGTATTCGATTCGTCAGGCGTTAGATCAGCCCTTGAATTACGCGAGAATTTACTTGGCTGATCTTTTACCGTCGGGCGTTGGCCGCATTATTTACTTTGACTCGGACCTTATAGTGGTTGATGACGTGGCGAAATTGTGGAGTATTAACTTAAGAGGACATGTGCTAGGTGCACCGGAGTACTGTCACGCTAACTTCACAAACTATTTCACGTCAAAGTTCTGGTCAAACCCGGTATTTGCGGGGAGTGTTAAAGGGAGAAAGCCTTGTTATTTTAATACGGGCGTGATGGTGACCGACTTACGGAAATGGAGAGAAGGAAAATACACAGAGAAATTGGAGTACTGGATGAGAATACAAAAGAAGTACAGGATTTATGAGCTGGGGTCATTGCCTCCATTTTTGCTAGTGTTTGCTGGGGACGTTGAAGAAATTGAACACAGGTGGAACCAGCATGGACTTGGCGGAGATAATCTTCAGGGGTTGTGTAGAAATCTTCACCCCGGTCCGGTTAGTTTGCTTCATTGGAGTGGTAAAGGTAAACCTTGGTTGAGAATTGACTCAAAGAATCCTTGTCCGTTAGATTACTTGTGGGCCCCTTATGATCTGTTTCGTCATAAGTCCTTGTTCTCTGATAGCTGATGAGAGTTTAATTAAGTGGCGTGATTAACGGTCGTTGATTTTCTTGAAAATGGATGGATTGGATGAAGTTTGGGTTGGGGAACATTAGGTGGAACATGGAGATTCGATGATGATGATGATGTATGTATGCATGCATGTAAATGTAATGGGTTTGATTTTGATATAAAATAGTGGAAAGTAGGAGGTTTCAATCAGGTGGTTCTCCTTTCGCTTTTTTTGGCCAACATTATTTAATTAAAGTTTGTTTCTACTTTTTCTAGATTTATAAGTGGATTCTCTTCCCTATGTAAATTGCCATCGATAAATAATAATAAATTTTTTAATTGAACAGGATTTTCCCTTTTTAGTTACAATTTTTGTTCCATAAATTGTGGGGACATGTTATAGATAATGTTAGGGGGTTGGATACTGTGGTCTTTTAAATAAAGTTATCCTAACTAATTAAGAATTGGCCAATGGCCTCACTTCTCCAGATCTCCTCGTTCAAGCTCTCTTTGAAGAAGAAGGGTAAAACACTCTCTTAATTATTTTTTCCTCATAATTAAAGTGGATCAGTTTATTGACCTTATTATATATGCAAAAATGAAAACCCATGCTATCACTCAGATTACTTGGAGATGGAAAATGTTACATCGACGATCTCTTATGGTAAACTTTTTTTCACAATTTTGATGTGACAGTTTGCAATTGGTCAACTCGTAATGAGTTTCATCTGATAAATTACGATTGATCAATTATGAGCTGTCACGTCAGGGTTGTGAGAAAAATTTTGTAAGAAGAGGTTATGATTATAATATTACTTTTGGAGAATACAAGGTTTATAAATGACAATTAATGAATATTTAATAGTGAAAATGGGTTAAATTTAACTGAAAAAAAGGTACAAATATAATTTCATGGGTTTATTTTATTTTCTCACCTGAGATCACTTTATATTAGCTCGTTTGCTTTCTTCCAGAAGTATTAAATACTTTATCAAAGAGTTTTTGATATTTTTAAAGGGGTTTTTAATACTTTTATAGAGGTTTTTGACAATCATATATATATATAGTCCAATTCTAAGCAAGGAAAATGAAATAAACCCATAATTTCAAAAGCAAAAATAAATTGCATTATAAACAAAAACATGAAAGTCAAACATTAAAATAAGTGCCCAATAAAAAATTACATATGAGATGAGCAAACGACATTTTCCCACCAAATCCCAAGTTTATACCCTTAGTAGCATTTATTCTAAATTTTCATCCTTAAACTAACATTGCAAGTTAATTTATAATTCTGACTTGTGCTATAACCATTCTGCCCTTCACTTTTAATTTCACCCTACCTAGCCACCATCACCATCACCATCACCATCACCATCACCATCCAGCCACCACCACCACCCACCAAACCAACCTGATCATCGTTCAGGCCTGATCTAACTTGATTTCCGCACCAATTGACCAATCCAACATCACCATCAAGGTCCTCTCATCTCTCTCTCCAAAACCCCTATCATCTTCGACTACGTGTTGCCATCATTCGTCGACCACCATAATTTTTTTGTTCGCGTGCTTCAACCAAAATTCCGTCTCTCTTGGCGCTGAAAATCAACCCCATTACCACCAATAGCTTCATTGGCATCCCACCTCAAAAATCCCCAACAACCTCGATCTTGGTTGCCTGTCATTCGCTGTCAATCACTCCCCTTAGGATTTTGCAATTTTGGTGAAAATTATGTTTAATTGGAGGTTGATTCAAGGTTTTACGAGGAGTTTGTGGGTTTGTGATTGATTGGAGGTTGATTATGCTTGTTTTCGAAGTGTTTATGTGTTGTTTTTTTAGGTTGGATTGATTTCAGGTGGGTTTGAAATGGGGTGGTTTGGTTGCAAATTGCAGCAGGTGGCAGCCAACGATCAGGAAGCAACAGTGGTCAGTTTCAATAAACAAGGGAGGATAAGAACTTAAGTTGAGAATATAAGGGAAATGTGATGTCTACGGTATTATATATATATGGGTATTGCTGTCAATCCGCAAATTGGGTGGTCATTTTGGAACCTGGAAAGAGTTTAGCATGTCACACCTAGGGGTGATCGGTTCTGGGCACCCTGCATTTTTTGAAGAAATCGAAACCAGAACCAAAACTGACGGTTCCTGAAATTTGGAACAACAATCAGAACCGATGGTTCCGGTTCCTGGGTGCCCAAAATCAGAACCTGTAACAATGGTTCCAGTTCCGGGTACCTTAGAAAATTACATTTACCCCCTAAAAGTTTATAAAATGACAAAAAAACCCTCAAAAACATACAAATACCACCCCCCTGAAAGAAAACCATGAAGAGGTGGCGGAAAATGTAGATTGAAAGCATGAAAGGGTTGGATTAATAGGATTCAAAAAAATTTCAAACAAAGCTTGAAAACATTATACCTTCTAACATGAAGAGGTGGCAGAAAATGTAGATTGAAAGCATGAAAGGGTTGGATTAATAGGATTCAAAAAATTTTCAAACAAAGCTTGAAAACATTATACCTTCTCCTTTGCTTAAGGTTGATGAAGCCAAGATCCAAAAGGATGAATCCTCCACACTTTAACACCACCTTGAGAGAGTGAGAGAGTGGTCGAACCCTAAGAGAGAGAGATTGTTTTTCTTTGAGTGAACAAAATGAAAAACTTGACCTAAAATGCAACCATTTGCATTTATATATACATGGGCCATTTTGTAATTAGTTATTTTTCACTTGTATGCCCCAATAAATTTTTTTTTAAAAAGGAGCCCAAGTATTTATTAATTTGCCCTTTGAATAATCAATATTATTCAAGGGCCCATTTAAACTAAACTAGTTTACATTAACAACCCATAAGTTTACCCTTTTGCCCTTTAACTATTAAAAGGTTATTTTAGTTCATCTCATTTATCTTAATGCTTTAAGATATAATAATTAAATATAATTAATTATTGCTTGACCATTTTAACCCTTAAAATGTCACAAATAATTTTCTATGTAACTATTACCATAAAAATCGTGTTATTACCCTTGGAAGGTGCTAGCCCCCTTCAGATAATCATTTCTCTCTCTTATCCTTTTCTAACTTCTCAAGGCTATTGGTGTGATCATGTAGGCCACCGTGGATTAGTCGTGAGCTGGTTCTGGATGAATTCTGAAAACCTATCCAGAGGCCCAACGACTATGGTAACATCTAGTAATGTGCCATAATCCTTAAACCACGATGAAGAAATACTTCATCGAACCCATTCCAGATCATATGTACCATGCAGGTAAAGTCCCTCTATTGATATATCTTGATCGAGTACGGATTTATGGAACGTCAAAATCCTAAACTCAATCTTTTATCGAATCGTCGATCAATATGTCCGGAACTCGTCATCACGAACTTGCTTTCGTATGACAAATAATAGACTCTGGCCAGAGATTTCAATTTCTGACATTTATCGACATTTGTCCAGGAACTTGAATCCAGATGGAGTCAGTGGTACTACTGATCCTATATTTTCGAGTCAATGGATCATTTCTTGACCATCGTTTGTTTCCGCATATGAACAACAGATGACCAATTAGGCTTTATCATGCGAAACATGACTAGTCTCGTATTTATACACCGTATGAACCATACGCATCTGTATCGGATCCGACCACAATGTCTCAAGTCAAAGGACTACATCGTGCACTGATATAATCAAATGATAAATCATTGACTACATGCTTTTCCAAATGATTTGTCGTTATTTGGTCACGTTCGAAAAACAGTTCACCAATTGCTAATCCATACTAATGCCCCAGTGACATGACTATCATCGTCATCCGTACTTATATCAACTATGATATCTTTCGGAAACATCCAGTATGCCTACTATGCAATATAGTTGCCCAAATTATATTGCTTCCATAGGGAACCTTTTTGATAATTCATTTACCAATTAAATAAATCATCTGGACAATTCATATACATACTTTATTTTAAATGCATGATTGAATAAAGGAAGCAATTTATATATATGAATTGAAGAACTCTTTCTTCTATTATTTATGATATATTGATACAAGACAAAATGCTATGAAACCGACAACACGAATGGTTTCTAGGGCATACGTTAATATATACTCACATTACAAATTACAATAATCCATTGAAAAATCACAAATTCAACTTCAAAAGAATTTAAAGTACATATAATGTTTATATATCTTTATAACAAAATGGTTCCGGTTCTAGTTCCTGACTACAGGAACTGGAATCGAAATTGCACAATGTCGGTTTCAGATTTTTGGAATCGGAACCTACTTGTTGACGGTCGGTTCCGATTAGGAACCAGAACTAAACCCCAAGTACTCGCCAGTTCTGGTTTTGATCGATTCTTTTGAACACTCCTACTCACACCAACATAGTTTAGAATTTTGATTAGGCATAGGCCTTAGCTAGACCGAGGCTGAATCAAGAGTAGGCCATTAAAAAGTAATTTAAAAAAGAAAAAAATAAAAATACATATTACAAGGATATTGTTAGGGCCAAAAAATGCCCTCGGCCTCAATAGGCCCAAAGATGAGGACACCTTTAACAAAGCTCGGAGCCGTGGCCCAACATCGATTGAGCCCACAACAGAGTTCGCATATTGGGTCCGCTCATTACACCTACCATGTTGCTCACTGCCTAAGCCCAATCAATAAAGGCCCCGATTCGTTTAGGCCTCATCATCAGCTTGTCTGGGCCCAGGCCCATTGATTCAAGATCATCTACTGGACTTAGGGTTTACTTAGACCCCAAGGTTGCCTACTTCCTATTTTAGTACTATCTGGATTCTACCGAAGAGATCTATTACTATCATAATCGATTTGAGATCTGCATCTTAGACCAACTAGGACTCCCTTTCCCACATAGGTAAGGAAGTCAAAGACTCTCCTTTTTTACTAAACCTCAACTCTCTATGACTCGAAGATCCTACAGCTGCTATTTGAACAAGAGGCCAGTCCTCTCACAGAGGAGGACATTACACTTTCTAACCCCGTAGTTCCCATTCTTGAGAACTTTCCATCACAGTCGTAGTTATAGTCTCCGAATAAACTTTTGATAACTTTCTCTTTCCTTAACCCTCACTAAATTAGCCTCATTCAGCTTTGCTGACTTGAGCGTCGGAGTGCCTACAGCAAACACCACCCCGATGTTTTTCGTTTGCTTCATGCTTGTTTTCTTGCGTGTGTAGGTACAATAGATTACTGGTGGCCTTAACCTCATGGGATCAGACCATATTTTCATAACAATAGATTTTTTACATCTACAGTTTGGCGCCCACTATGGGGCCTCTGGCAATCATTATTCTTTCAAACACTGCTTCGCAAGGAAACTCCCTATGGCTGAAAATTCAAATAACGCCAATCTTGGTCTTGAGGGTAGACTCGAAGCTCTAATTGCTCTTATGCAACAGCACTCAAACAAGGTGATAGCATTGGAAGCCGAGAACGCCGCCATCCGGACTAGGGATGTATACGAGCTGAGTTGAGCTGAGCCGACTATCTCGGTACTTGAGCTCGATTCGTGATGAACAGTAATGAGCTCCAACTCGAGCTGAGCTTGGTCGAGCTTTAATATCAGTATTCGAGCTCGAGCTCACGAGTATTAAGGTGCGCTCAAGCTCGAAAACTGCTCGTGAACCAAAAAAATGTTGTAGATCTAATTCATCTGAAGGCAAAACTCGCCCATAATTCAACACAATCTTTAATTTCCAACACCAACAATCTTCCAAAACATAAAATGAAATGACAAGTTTAAAGTTGTTGGATGAAATATGCATTACAATTGTTTGATATATTTGTTGGATGTACATATGTAATATGCATTTCTTGCACAAACACAAGTGTACAACTACAAAAAGGTAGACACTAGACACTTAGACAATACACTTCATGAAGCTCTGTACAAACACATGAAGCTATATACAAACCAAAAGTACACTCTATGAAGCTATGTGCCTATGTCCTAACACATAAAGCTATATACAAACACAAAAATACACTCCATAAAGCTATATACAAACACAAAAGTATACTCCATGAAGCTATATACACAGACAAAAGAGTAGAAAACTAAAGCAAGAAATATAGACTTTGGGACAACAAAATCCGAGAAGACCAGGAGAGAAAAACCCAAAGCCACCCAAATCCAGGCCTCCCACGGTCCCACTTGCAAAGTGTAAATACAAAGGAAGCAAATAGTTTGCAAGTCAAATGTTTGCAATTCACCATTCACCATTCACCAAATTAAAATCAACATAACAATCACCATTCACCAAATCAAAATCAACACAACAACATCATAATATCCCTCTGATACAAACCCCAAGCTTCACCTGCAAAAGATCACTCACAAACAACCACCCAGATCACTCTGAAATTCCAATAATCAATAACCCAGAATTTCCAATCACACCAGAACAGTTTAATCACTTCAAAACAATTGAAAAACACAAGCAATACTGAATAATCTCAATATCTATATTGAATAACCAGGTTCTCTGTATAGAAATTAAAAAAACTACAAAAGGGCTATATATTTACAAACCTGCGAATATATGTTGGAGGGTCAAACAATCTATTCTATCCCTTCAAATGAAGACATAGGAAGGGTAATCTCCAGTGGGTCCTCATCCGTCTAAAACATATATAGGAAAAAATCAGAAAGTTTAACGTTAGAGTAAAAGAAAATAATATTCAAAATAAACGAGACATAAAAACAGTAATAATTTAAGGGTTAATTGAACTTACTTCATCAATCTTCGTTAGTCCGAGGAGATTGCGACACCAATCACCTACACATAGTAGTGCTTGCACTATGTCCGGAGACAGCTGAGATCGATAATCGTCAATAACTCTACTTCCCGCACTAAAGGTAGCCTCCCAAGCAACCGTGCTAATAGGAACGACAAGTATATCATGAGCCACCTTACATAACACTGGATATTTCAAACTATTTGCTTGCCACCACTTTAAAGCATCGAACGCCTCATAATCCACCTGACACTTATAACATGGCTCTTCGAGATGAGAATCTAAGTCTGATTTTTTGAGGGCAACAGTTTCAATTACGTCCACATAATTCATTAAATCTGACCAACCAGAAGAGTCATCATCTGCATTCGTCCCACTCCCACTCCCACTCCCACTCCCACTCCCACTCCCCCTACCCTGCTTGGTTGCAGGCATATGTCGATCAGTAGATGATTGACTATCGGCCACATATTCCCTGTACAACTCGTATAAGGCATCCTGAACTGTTGTAGAATGAACCCATGCTTCAAGATTACCATAAATCTTGGGGAAAGCATAGTCCAACACTCTCATTTTGCACCTAGGGTTCAGAATAGTAGCTATAGCTATCAACAAATTGCACTCCCCCCAATATTTATCAAATTTCCCTTTCATCTTCCTCACCATGGTCCTAACAAATTCATTTTTGTCCTTAGCATGTTTATCCAACAAAATTTTCACCTTACAAAGCTCGGCAAGAAATCTATTTGATGTTGGATATTTAGACCTTGAAATGATGTTAGTGGTAACATTGAAAACCTTCAAAATTTCACAAACTCTCTGCATTTTATCCCAATCTTCATCAAGGGGATAAGAAGTGAAATGTTGGTCTCTTTCAAAGTATCTTGGAAACACCCTTTGGAATTTTAGTGCAGTTGCCAACATCTCATAAGTTGAGTTCCACCTCGTTTTACAATCCACTATCAACTTTCTGTGAGGCAACTGCAATTGCTGCACAATTTTTGAAAGGATTTGTAGTCTAATCTCCGATTGATTGATGAAGTAGACACTATCACAAACGTCTTTGATAATGTGCCTAATCTGATTAATACCATCTTGCACCATTATATTTAATATGTGGGCGCAACACGTAACATGAGACAACTTTCCCCCGCAAAGAAGCTTCTTGGTTACAAAAAAGTTTTCCTTTATAACCTTGATTGCCAAGTCATTAGTGGATGCATTATCAACTGATATCGTGAAGACTTTGTTCTCAATTCCCTATTCCCGCAAACAGTTAAATATGCTATCAGCAATCTGGACACCACCACGAGGAGGCGGTAAACGAACAAAACTGAGCACACGTTTATTCAACCTCCAATTAGTATCTATCCAATGCCCCGTCACAACCATGTACTCAAGTTTCTGATTACTTGAATTCCACAGATCAGTAGTCAAACTAATTCTATCAATATTATTCAAAACAGCCTTCAACCTTTCATTTTCCATTTCATACACCTTCATACAATCATTTTTACTTGTAAAGCGTGATATTTTTTCCCAACCAGGCGTCAAATATTTTAGCAAATTATTAAAACCCTCTTGCTCGACAACTCTGAATTGGTGCTCATGCATAAACACCCCTTGCGCTACTAGTCCCCTCATCCTAGCCATCTCAAACTTCCCACCTATAAGAGGAGGCAGCGAACTACCTGCTGCCATTGAATCTGCAGCTAGAAAGTTCAACTGTTGTTAATTATTGAAAACCCTTCGCCTTAGACACCCTTTCAAATGTCTAGCAAATTGAGTTGTGCTTCCAGTTGCATTAATGAACAATTTGGCCTTACAATGGATGCATTCTGCCTTCTTCGTATTGTCGGGTTGAAGAACCTCTCTAAATTCTGCCCATACAGGATATGTCTTCGCTCTTTTCTTCCTTTGGAATGAGTTATCAGCAGCATCATTTTCTTCTTCAACAGATGGACTAGTACCACAAGTTGCACTTACAGTTGGATCCGGATTACTTCTTGGGGTTTGAACTGGTGAACTTGAGTCAATCAACGTGGGTCGGCTACTAGATGAGCCTTCCATACCTATAATTGAAGAATAAAGCAACTATTAGCATTTGTATGAAATATAAAAATCAAGCAACTATATATGTAATTGAATGCATTTCAAACCATTAAAGTACAAAAATAGTGTGACTATATGAGTGTAACTGTGTAATGTGACTGATAGTGATAGGAACCTTGATTGTTTCCACTTCCAGAATACATAAATTCACTTAAAGATGTAATAAACATGTACAACCTTTGTTTAAATAATTAAAAAAGATTACTTGACAAATATGCCGATTATTATATCAGCTTATATGAAATAATTTGTATAAATAGTTTATATATGTAATATCACTCAATTAATTAATATTGAGCTGCAGGATCAACAAATTTAGTGTGCAATATTCTATGAAACAAGCTCTATTTATTACTGTAGAACAATCTGCCAAACCAAATATCTATGTAAATTTTATGCAATAATGGGAAAGAATGTCTCAGGTCTTACACTAACTTTTATTAAAAGGTGTTGTTATGATTGATGCTGCTAAAGTTGTAGTACTTATATGGTTTTAATGAAGGTTCGCCAGCATTCCAGAAAACCTGATCTATGTTTCTGTAAACACAATAGCTAATAATTCATCACTTGTAATTACATATTCAAGAAAACTACAATGCATGGGACGAGTCATTCACATAACACATCTCTAAAGGCTTATTTTTCATCTCCTAGTACAACCACTTATGAAATAATTGTAAAATTTCAATATGATAAAATTCCAATATGATAAACTTAATGAAAGATACTAAACTAACATGATAGCAATAAGATTAAGTGGGTAGCTAAGTACATACAAACGCAAACTAGATCAAACAAGGCATGCCTAATTCATAACTTATGCAAAAAACAACACACAATGCGTACAACTAATTTAACATAATGAGCAAAACAAATTAATAAGCAAGACGAGAACCCCAACTGTACAACGTAAGAAGATGGCTAGAAACAAAATGCTATGCAACAATGACATAAAGACAGGATGAACTATAAATGTCAAAGATATCTTATAAATCATTGCACAAGATTTATAAGATTTCCAATACTGCATACCTAGTTCATCAGGGATCTAACAAATAACTCGACATATTAGTAAGCTCTTGCAGACAAGAAATCTTTGGTAAATAGACAACCAAGGACCAGAACCTCAGGCTCCATCACCCATACACATTCTTAATTACCCAAAACAGCCTATATGTAAGACTGTGAAAATTGTAAGTGTAATTTCAACCAATTCCTCTTCATTTATGGTTTAAGTACTTTTAAGTTTTAAGATTGTGTGAGGTCAAAATCTATACAAAATAACATTTTCTTTACAATCTCATTAATTATTATTTGAAGTCCAGATTGTATGAAAGTTTGGTTCCTAATAATGGGCAAAGACTAGGAAATAAATAGAAGAAAAAAATATTACCGACAACATTCTACATTCAACATGATATCTGATATTAATCTTGAGAACAATAACTATTGCAATTTATGTAATTACCTAGAACCAAATCACTGGTTAGGACCTTTAGCATGATGGAGATGACGGTGACAGCGAATGGCAGCGGAGACGTTGTCGATGATGGCGGCGTGACTTGTGAGTGACTGATTTACAAAATGGCAGCGAATGGGATGTTTGGGTATTTTAGAGCTAAGGAAGCAATTGGACTATTGGAGAGTGGAGATGACTGTGACAGTGAATGGCAGTGGTTGAGTCGTCGTTGATGACAGCATGGGGGAGTGATGGGAATTAGAGTTAGGGTTGAATGAAAAATCCCAAATGGGTTTATCATTTTTGTTTGAATTGTAAATGGGTGTTGTTTGTCATTTTTACAACTTAAAAATAAAACAAAGTTTGAAATCTTGCAAATTGGCCCTCAGAGCTAGTTTAAGCTCGCAAGCTTGACAAGTCGAGCTCAGCCCGGATCGAACTCGGCTTGATACTGTTCACAAGCGACTCGAGCTCGAGCTCGAGTCGATTGGCTTAGAGTCGAATTCGAGCTTTCGACGAGCTGAGCTCGAATAGCTCGCGAGCTACTCGACTCGTGTCTCATCCCTAATATGGACCGAAAACGCCTCCATCTGGGTCGAAAACTAGTCCCTGAAAGAAAAGGTGAGTCAATTTTATGACCTTGAGCTTCAGCCTTGTCAGGTACAACCCAATCGTTTCTGCGCATCGATTCTATCCATGCAGCCTCTCTAGACTCCAGATCACAGACTGACCGCCTTAGATACTAGATAACGTCAACTCTATTACACGCTAGTGTACGATTAAGCCCAAAATCCAATTAAGCGAGGATTGCCAACAGAGCCACTCTCGGTCGACCCACTCCAAGCACGAGATCAAGACATCCAAATAACAAAAAGCCCACCGTAACAAGAGCCACCCATCCTTACCATCCCGCCTCATCTCCAATCAATCATTCCTACCCAAACCCCACTCAGCTCGACTCGTCCTCGCGGGTCAAGTGGGCTCCCTCACCTTCAATCTACCCCGCTCGAGTCCATCTATCCCCACGAACCGAGTGACTCCCAAATAACTCCTCTCACCATCCATGTAGGCCAAAACACCCGATCAGTCACAATGTGAACCATCCAACCTGTGAGAATGAATGGAGAACCAAATTACCAAGCAGCACATAATGGAATGATTTACCAAACTACCCCACACGACTTGACCCAACGAAACATGTCGAGTGCGAGTCATATGACAAACCAAGCCAACCAAGCCGACCTGGTGGCCTCTGCCTCTCCCATGGAGCAAATATTGGCCAAACGATTGATCGACATAGAGGCAATGATGACACGTATACCTGGAATGCCAATCCCAACCAAAAAGAGTCAACCTCACAGCTATGCCGATTCACCCTTTGTGGATGCAATTGCACTAGCCGAGATGCCACACAAATTCACCATCCCCAACATGAAGCCTTACGATAGCACAACCGACCTGGATGACCATATAGCCTCATACAAGCAGTGGATATTCGCCGCCTCAATACTCAAACGTTGAGGGAAGCTTGCATGTGTAAAAGCTTCGGCTCTAGCCTCTTTAGACCAGCCCTTCAATGGTACACTAACCTTCCAAACAACTCAATCAACTCATTCGCCCAGCTCACTGACACTTTCGTTGAACAAGTCGCCAACAGCAAGAAACTCGATAAGTTGTCAGCCGACCTATATAGAGTCTAACAGAAGTTGGGGGAGCCATTGAGAGAGTACGTAAGCAGATTCAATAAAGAAAAAATCTCCATCCCACCCTATAATCCAGAGATAGCGGTAGATGCTTTCAGAAATGGTTTCCTCCTAGATGGAGAACTATACAAAGACTTAACAAAACTTAGCTACACCACAATGGAAGACGCCCTAACCAGAGCAGTGATCCAAATCATATGGGAGGAAAACAAGGCGAATCGAATGAGGCATGCTAGATATTATGACCGTCACCAAAAGCGGAGCGAAAGAAGGCCAGAGTCCAGATCGTTTGAGCCCTGTTATCAACTCCTGCCCCACAATCCAAGCAGAATAAAAAAAACCATATGATAGCTAGCCAACCAGAGCCACAAATAGGCAATCTGGATCAAACCAATTCAAGATTCTAAAGTACAACCTCAACGTTGAACCAGTTCAGGTCGTGGCAATCATAAAAGGGATGGGACCTATCGTGAAATGGCCAGCCAAGCTCAATCCTGACGTAAAGAGGGACACGACCAAGTGGTGACAATTTCATGGCGACATGGTCATAACACTACCGATTTCATTGCCCTAAGATTGAAAGTTGCAGCATTATTGAAGAAGGGCCATCTCCAAGACCAGTTGACAGATAAAGGGAAGAATACAGTCAGCCAGAGAAGATCGAAAGAAACATCTCCCCCTCCACAGAAACCGACATCGAAAGGGTTCTACTCCATTATCTCTGGAGGGTTAGAAATCAGTGGGGTGAGTTATTCCTCAGCCAAGCAATACGCTCGAGCCAGCCATCACCTAGTAGTCCGGTCTATCCATCCATCCCCTCGGATGCATACCAACCAGATTATTAGTTTGAAGATGATGCGCCAACTATCTTAGTCGCCCCTCATCACGATGCTTTGGTCATCTCCCTCCAGATTGCCAACATCCTAGTCAAGAGAGTATTTGTAGACGGGGGATCCTCAACAAACATCATCTTCCTTGAAGCAGTGAAAGCCATGGGACTAGTTGAATCAAACATTAGCAAACACCCAACCATTCTGGTTGGGTTCAGTTCTAAGCAGAAATACACTATCGATGAAATCACTTTGCATGTCTATGCCAGCGGAATCAACAAACAAACTATCTTCCTAGTACTTGATTGCCCCTCACTGTACAATGTCATCTTGGATCAATCCTGGATCCACGACATGCGAGTTGTCTTATCCACCTTCCATCAAACTATCAGGTTTCCAACAAAATGGGGAGTAAGAGAAATCGAGGGTGATTCTAAGGCCTCCACAGACTGCTACAAGAACGCCTTCAAAGGCAAAAGTCATGCTTCATAGCAACTACAGTTCCATCCAACCCTTTCGACCGAGCCAGATCAACCATCCAGGTAAGAGTTGGATGAAGTGCAGATACATTCGGACCACTCCGATCGAAAGACCCAGCTATGCTTAGAGGTGGAACAAATGGGTCGGGTTAGGCAGGTTAACCCTAACCTGGCCTAAAATGAAGAGGGTTGAACCCGGACCGCCAATAACGTGGGCCGGGTTGTAAAATGGCAACCCGTCGACCCACAGGTTGCTGTTTTGTCCTTTTAAAAGAAAGGACCGCCAACCCACGGGTTGGCTGTTGTCAACCCGGCCGGTTGGCTGTTATACAATAACGGTCAACCTGCCAGGTTGACCTGTGGATTGGCCGAAAAAAATAAAAATAAAAATAAAAAATTTAATTTGTTTTTTCAAATTACGCATTTACCCTTAAAATATAGCCGTTTTATAGCCGTTGGAGGGGTTTTTTTCGTCATTTTCCTTTCC